TTAAATTAGATTATTTTTATTAGATTTAATTAATTCTTGTAATGATGCTAAATAAAAAAGTGAAGTAGAAAATTTGATTCATTCACTTGAATCTTATGACTTTTTACTATGAATAATTATTTGGTATGATATTTTATTTGTCATTAATTGTATTAGTAGAAAATTACAAAATGAATTTGTGTGCATTGATACTGCTATTAAACAATTAGAAGATTCTTTATTATTTTTTTAAAAACTATAGAAATGAAGGATTTTATACTAGTATGAACATTTCAACACAATTTGCTATTTATATGGATATTGAATATTTAATATATTTTTCCAGTTAAACGTCAAATTTTTAGAAACATAAAATTTGATGATGTTGATCAAAATGAAGAAGTTTAATCAAAGAAGGAGAATTTTTTTTAATTAGTTCACTATTTTCTAACCGTAGTAGATATGAGAATTACTTCATTAAATTATTGGTTTCAGCATTTAAAAATGTTTAACAAAATATTTGGTATTTTATTTATTTCACATAATTTAAAATTTTTAACTGATAAAGTTGTGGATTGTTATCCAAATATTTTATTTGCTCATTGTATATTATTAACTATGTCCATAACCGTAGCATCGACTGAAAAAAGTTTTTCACAATTAAAATTATTATAAACTTATTTAATACAGTCTAGTCTCAAGAAAAATTTACTGATTTAGCTATATTTTCAATTTAAAAAAGAAATGTTATATAAAATTGATATTTATGCTATTATTGACGATTTTGCTTTTAAAAATAATAGAAAAAGTTGTTTTATTTGATTATTTAAATTTATTACAGATAAAAAAGAATTATATATAAGGGCTATTTTTTTTTTTTTTTTTTTTCGTCTTGAGCCTATCAGAAGTCAAAATGGGCCCTGGTCATTGGGCACATAACTAAAAGAATACATCAATATTATATTTTTCAATGAAATGATTTTATATTTGCTGGAAAAGTATTATTAGCTAAAATTTTTAATTCTGATTCAGAATATCTTTCATACGTGGCAATCTTGATTGGTGATCAAATTCCAAATATGCATTCTCCCATTCTTTGTGAACCGGAAATCAACGGCTTTAGGATAAATGTTTTCCCACCACAAAAATTGATTTACCTCACAAGTCTTTCCATATTTTAATGTTACTCAATTTTAATGAAAATATATTTTAGTAGAAACTTATTTTTTATGTTATAATATATGCTGAAGTGATTACTTAATTTAAATTAATAGTCATCGTTAATGGGCTAATTATTTTTTATGTATAATGATTATTATGTAGTTTGTATAAAAATTACAATTTAATTGTTTTTTCTATCATGCACATGTGTTGAGTTGTATTGCATGCTTTCATTAATATGTGATTTGTTTTTCATTTTGTGTTGTCCAATTGATAAAATTTTTTCAATTGTCATAACTCCTTCAACTCAACCTCCTACTATGGCTTACCTTGGAGATTCCACTTATGTTTGTCACAAACTTGTACGGATAACGATCACGGAGCAGAGCTGCTCAGAATCTGGATGCCTCCCCTAATCGGAACTCCGATTTCTCCTTTCTCCGACGAGGTCTCCGGCGGATATAAGTGACTGGAACTCACTCAATACACGAAGAAGAGAAGGTTGGAGTTGAGAGGATTGATACATTTTTTCTTTCACTACACACATTCTCAAAAGCCTCACACCAACCACACTCTCTCCTCACAATTATCTATAAAGCCGTCTTGTTGTGTATATAAGACAAAACCAATTAAAACCCTTTGCACATAAAAGAAATGATGTGTCTGCACGAATTCTGTAATAGATTGACCACTCAAGACATCCAATTCATTTGTTTTGTGTGCTCAATAACCAAGAGTGTAAAGAAAGCAGTATTGTTGACAAACTGTTGCATCAGTCATACAAGACCTGTTACTCCAAAAAGAAATCTGTGAAAGACAGCAGTAGGAAAGAATGGAAGAACCATATGCCAAAATAGATGGAGGGATTTTATATTCCAACAATCTCCCCCTTTTTGGCATATAGGACTTCGCCCATGTGCAGGAGAATCACTTCCACACCAAACCAATCAATCCAATAATTCAAACAGTAAGTTCATCAATTTTTTATAGGCCAAAAAGAGCACATGCTACATAAAGCCTGTCAAATGAAACTGTTCTGATAACATCTATTCCACAACCGCTTTACAGATAATCAGCAGCAACAACATCAAATCACCAAGGCTCCCCTTTCCTGCAAAAACAAGACACAGCAGACTTTATCTTATTATGCACATCTTTCACCCACGAGGAGCATATGCCAAAAAGAACAGTCCTTCAAAACATCCTCAATTTGTTAAGAAATGGTTGCATCAGCAACCTCATCAACGGCACCAACAACTCTTCAAGCAACAACATCAACAATGGTTTGTGCAACATCACAAGTCCTGAAAATTCTTCAAAATCCAGTGTATGACTGAAATGTCCTCCACGTCGAATTAATGCACAACAAAAACATCAACCACGATCACTCAAATAGGCAACAAATCTAATTCCCGCAATTGCTCAATCAAAGTCTCTTCTCAACACTTCTTCTTTTTGGATTTTTCAAAAAAAATTCTTTCCAAATTATTTTTATTCTCCAATATTCACCACGAATATTTCAAACACCATAAATATATTGGAGAATTTATTAAGTCCATGCATGAAAAATCAAGTAGGGTACGAATGCATACCCAAATGACGTTGAAACTTTTCAAATCGATCTGCATCCAATGCCTTTGTAAGAATATTTGCCTTTTGATTTTCCTTGGACATTCAGACCAACTTGACCTTGATGTTTTTCCTGAGTTCTTCATTAGTTCCATTCATTATATCCCTTGGCAATTTGAAACATCTTTCAGTTGTATGTTCAAGACATTTGCAGTATTCGCAGTCATTACATCATGATGACATCCGTCTAATACTCTGTGTCCTTCTGCGATTATTCTCCCAATTTCTATTTCTATTTCTTTTCAAGTTCTGTTTCACAACTAGGATTTACTTCTTTTTTGGAATTTCGACATCAGCGAGAAGTCCACCGCAAACAAATGTAGTTGGTTTGCTTTGAAAGGATTCACAAAAACCTATTCTTTTGTAATCTCCAAAAGGTTTTCCAATGGAAAGAATTTCATCGAGTTTATCCTTGCCTTTTCGAAGTCAATCATTCTCTTGCTTCAGCTGCATATTTTCCGCCTTTAATTCATCAACTTTATCAGATTTCTCATGAACATTCTTCTTCAACCTTTTGATTTCATCATCCAACTTTTCTTCTTGAGCTTCCAATCGGTAAATGGTGTCCAAAAGTACTTTATTTTTCACAAATGATTTCTTTTGTTTAGCTACTATTTCCTCGTAAGCTTTGATTAATTCATCAGCATCAAGTTCTCTTGATTCATGAGTACCTTCAAAAGTAGGAACATCATCATCCTTAATGGATTCAACTACATCAGCCATGAAAGCAATCACTTCATCATTTTCTGAGTTTTCTTCACCTCCAACAACCTTTTCATTGTCATTATCACTCAAAGTGGCTTGATAAGTTTTTTCCCCTTTTTTCACCGTAGGGCACTCGGATTTGATGTGTCCAACTCCTCCATATCCATAGCAGGTAGGTTCTTGAACTGATTTAGGTTTAATAGACACAATAAATTTCTTCTTGAATTCACCATCGAGTTTTTCTTTTGGCTTGCTGTAAGCAGTTGGTTTCTGTTCAGGGTATTTTCGTTGTGAACTTGAGGTATTCACTCCCTGATAACCACTTAAGTTCCGGAACTTCTCATACGTTAACTTAGATGCTTGTTTCTCACTTCGCAGTGTTGTTGACGGACTGTTACAGTAGTCATACAAGACCTGTTACTTCAAAAGAAAATTTGTGAAAAACAACAATACGAAAAAATGGAAGAACCATATGCCAAAATAGATAGACAGATTTTATGTTCTAACAATACTAATAATCATGTTCTTTTATTTGTTCAAATTATTGATATTTATTTATAATTCGGCAAATATTTGTTACAATATTTAAAAATATAAAATAATACTTTGCTATTTTAATATTTTAAGGAATAAGTTTAAAAATAAATTTAATAAATTAATATATTTTTTAATAACCATAATTATATATTTCAAAGTTTATAATATTTTTTAAAAAATAAAATTTATTTATAATTTTAAATATAAAAAATAATTTAAATTTATATAATTCATAATTTATAATTTAAAATATAAAAAATAATATTTTAACTAGAAAGTTTTTAAAATTTTAAAATTTATGTTTTTAATTTTTAAAATTATAAATTTAAATTATTTTATATATTTTATTATAAATTTGAAATATATATAATTATAATTATTAAAATATGTTAATTTATTAGTTTTATAATTTTTTTAATCATTTTAAAAAAATATTAATTTTTTTTTTTTATATTTTAGAATAATTGTAACTAATATTGTTAAATTATAAATATATATATATACAATAATTTGATCAAATAAGTAAATGTGTCTTATAATATGATCATGTTTAAAGTAAAGTTATAAATGACCTAAAGTATAACTATATTAAGAAATAGTTAAAAATATTGACATGAATATATATATATATATATAAATAAGTTACCATGGAATTGAAAATTTTAGTTGAATTGACACCAAAATTAAAAAATATATGTATATATATCAATTGGATACCAACAGAATTAAAAATAATAAATTTTAGTTGGAATGCAAAATTAATAATAATATAAAATTATAAATTAAGTTGGAATGAAATAATAATTAATAATAATAATAAAGAATTCTAACAAAATTTATGATTATACTAACATACAATCGTATTTTTAATTTTTGCTCTTATTTCTATAGTTCAATCAAATGGGTTCACAGGATCCGATTCGAATCCGACCCACGTAATATTTGCTGGACGGGTCGGGTCCTAATCCATATCTATGGAGGAACTGGAACTAGAAAATAGGAAGAGGAAGACATAACATTCGTCAGCGCTGCCTTGCGATCGTTCGTGGTTCAATGCAGAAGGAGAGCTTCTAATGATCGCTAGAAAGCACCCACAGATGATGCTCAGGAGATTTCTAGCAGTCCACACCTTGTCGGCGCTCTTTTTGCTCGGATTTGTTTATTATACGACCATGTTTATATTCATCGAGGATTGGTTGGGGTTGCAGAGCTCAGCTGGTCTGCTCAACTCCATCATCTTTACTTTTTTCACTTCTCTGCTGGTCTTTTCCTTTTTTGTGTGTATTCTTACGGATCCTGGGGGCGTCCCATCCGGCTACGTACCTGATGTCGAAGAAACCAACGGTGCGGATCAAGAGATGAGACGTAGTGTGAGTGGTTTTGAATTTTTGCTAGGGCAATTGGTTTTTTAGGTAAATTGGATTATATATTTTTAGGATCCAATGATTTGTTTTCATTTCTTATTGATTCAGGCTTCTGTGATCAATTTCATGTTTTCGTGTCTTTATTTTGGGATTTGGGGTTCTGATGTTTGGTAATTGGGAATTGGGAATTGCATTGTAATTGGTTCATTCCTCATTTTCTCGACAGCAGTTATACCCAAATATTCGGAACTTGGTTGATTGAATAATTATTTTATCATTGAATGGAAGTGAGGCATCGAAACTAGATTGTAGATTGAGTTTTTGAAACATTGCAAATCATGTTCATGATGATTGAGTTAGTTAACTTAATATCAGTTTTGTTTGTGTTATCTTTTGATTTCCGAATTATGTCTGCGGAAAATATTGCTATTTCCATTGTTTGTAACTCATTCACTATCAATGTATAGATCCAAGTAGCTAGATTCATGATTTCTAGAAAGAAAATGGCAGACGCACTTTAATCAGTTCAACTCATATTTTGTTTCTCTTTTGTTGTTTATGTGTAAAATTTTTCGAAGCTGTTGATATTGTTTCACTGCCTTCTCTCATTTTACTATTCCACATTTACTATTCCACATTTACTTCCTTTCATTAATATCTAATTTTCTCTTGTTTCCTTTCAATTTCCAACATAACTAGTATAATTTCATTTTGTTTGTGTTCTTGTTTTGCTTTGAAATATTGACATCATATCAAATGCACTCATGATTTTACAGCACTAACGTTTGTTTAGTTTTTTAGTGTTAGTTATTTTTGGTGTTAGGATAGTAATATAAGGAATAATATTTTGTATTGAATCGTTGACTTTTGTGTGTTTGGGCAGAGCATATATATTATATATTGTGTGGTTGTGTGCATATATTGTATTTTTTTGGTAATATTAGTCAGAAATCATGTTAAGTTTTTTTCTGCCGAGGTAAATTGACCAATTTGTGATATAAGTGCTCCTTTACTTGTATGCATCTAAAGCACGTGTAAATTTTTGCTGTATACCAGAGAAAATGCGACAAATGTTCCAAATACAAGCCTCCAAGGTCTCACCATTGCCGTGTCTGCGGAAGATGTATTCTGAGGATGGTGGGGTACCCTTTGGCTGCTTTGTGCACACACGCATACACATGCACGCGCGCACACACACACACACACATATATATATATTACAGACACAAAACCATGATAGATTGTCTCAAACTCTTGAGATTCACTAACTCGTAATCCTTTTGGAATCTCTAAAATATCAGGATCACCACTGTACATGGATTAATAACTGCGTAGGTCACAGAAACTACAAGCCGTTTCTGCTTTTAGTCTTCTATGCGACTGTTGCAAGCACTTATTCAGCTGTAAGTATGATTATACGTCTTTATTTTTTATCATTCTAAGTATTTATCTTATGCTTATTTCCCCCCATTTCAGGTTGTTATAATAGGCTGTTCACTTCAGAAGGACTGGGATTCCTACGGCAGCAACACCCTTCTCAAGGAATTTCATGTGAGTTGGTGTCAACACCTTTTATGCTATTGTTTAGATATCTTTACATCTGTTTCAAGAAATAATTTTGCATATTGTTTGTAGAAGTACCTAATCAGATTATAGTTTTCAGGTTTGTTGTGGAGTTGTAAGCATTGGTTTAAGCTTGTTGCTTGGAAGTTTCTTCGGCTGGAATATGTATCTCGTGGCTCATAATTTGACAACCATAGAAGTAAGGATCATGTTTTAAGCATTCGATTGACTGCAGCCATTTCATTATATTTATTATTAATATAATGCGGTGAATTTTCTATTAGCACCATGAGGCAAACCGAGCTGCATGGTTGGCAAGGAAATCGGGTCTCAGCTATCACCATCCATATGATGTTGGTTTTTACAAGAATATTACCCTGGTCTCTTTCTCTCTCTCTCTCTCTCTCTCACACACACACACACACACACGCACATGACTATTACAGTGTCATGGTTGGAATTATGTTGAACCGATTCAAACAACATTCAAATTTAGTTTGTTGTTATCCTTGAACCTAAATGAGCACATGGCCTAATTTCTATGAGGAAATATCATAAATTTGCAATATATATGTATATATATATATATACATATATATATGTATAATTTGATCAAATTTTGCCTAGCATATCTGCTGTTCTCATCTTCAGTATGATAAGTGCTTCCTTTTCTCAACATCTGATCTTGTTCTTAGTGATAGATATTTCCTGTTTGCCTGAAAAGTACGTCTATGCCAAAGTTTGTCTCTGTAATATTGTTTTTCGGTGAGTTCGCCACTTCTCTTAGATTAATAATTCTTATTTGCAAAAGGCAGTCCTATGGCGTCATCTCTTGTGAATGTCCCTACCTAAAATTCTAATTATACTATATTCTCTCTCCATCCCGACTCTTCCACCTCTCTCTCTAGCCATTTTGTTTGGCCTCTTCCATGCGTTTTGAATATTTTTTTAGAGAGTATTCTTTTGTTTTTAACTTGCCTTTATAATATGTATCCCTTGTAATACGATCTCTTGTTATTTTAGCTTTTCAAGTCATAGTTGAGCCATTTTCAGGGAAGCTGATTCAGCTTCAATCTTGAAATTTTCGCTTACATTTTACATGATTCAACTGACCTTATCCTAGCCCCTTATGAAAAGTCACATTCTGTCATTGATATATTGCCCAAACACCCCCCCCCCCCCCCCCCCCCCCCCTCCCCTCCTCCCCTTCCTCTTTTTTTTTTCTTGCTCTATGTGCGTTACATGGCTTAGCATCTTATGCCCATGTAAATACAACAACTATTTGATGATCAGGTCATGGGTCCAAGCATGCTAAAATGGCTTTGGCCGGGAGCGGTGAGTCATCTCAAGGATGGACTTACCTTCCCTACCACACGCGAAAGCTCGTGACATGAGTGCAACAGCTAGAATGGGCGACACAAAATTGTTTTTGATTGAAACTGGTTGCTGGACTTTAACAACACCAGGTGCTCTGTTATTTATATTTATTTTGGAAAATATGCAATGTAGATTCATGTCAAGTAGAAATATAGAATAGCAATTGTGATGGATCTTTCTCACCATCATTTGTATGTAACAGTAAGAATAATTCTTGAAATGTCTGAAATGCATGCTCTTTACATCTTTGTTTGTCATGCCTGAATCTGTCTTGGCTTTGCTAAGAACAAATAATAATTCTTGGACCTTTTTTTTTTTCGGCAAGGGGATGTTGATTAGCCTCAATCAGTACACGAAAATAAATTAGACAACATATAAAAATAGAACAGTTAACACAAGTTGTATACATTGTTAGCAAGTGTTGTCTCTTTTAGTTTACGGACTCGTTGTGTGTGTGGTGAGATCAGTTGTAGTTTGTGCTTTGTGGCCTATTATCATATACTGTCAGTTTGTGTGTTGTATTTATGTTATGTTAACATATATCTTGTGTTGTTTGGGTGGTGAAATGGTAGTATAGTAGGGATTCCCATGCTACTCCTCTACCGGTGTCTACTTATGATGGCGATATAATAATTTGTTTGGTTGTTTGTCTTTTTTTGTTGATGTTGAAACCTACAACTGTTGGAACTTATCAGTAATTTAACCCTAAGCCCGCTTAGGACCTACCGTGTTGTAATAATTGAAATAAAAAATAAAGCAAATTAGATCTAACCTTATTTTTTAGCATAGTCGCATTCAGATCTGTAATTTGACATATGGTATTGTGTTCTTCAAGCCTATGGCGCAACCTCCGTGAGAAAACCGCTGGGTTATTGTCTTTACTCCCACGATGAGATATGAAACGTATAGATGGTTTTTTTTAGACGTGGGATCACAACCCTAAATACATAAGAGGCCCGCACTTACTAAATACATGTAAGCTCAATAAATTAATAAATCACTTAATATAGATTTAATAAATAGTTACATTTAACTCACTATTGGACTTTTAATCCAATAATACAACATTCATTCATCGAGTGTGTTCTGGGTAAATTTTAAATTGTATTTAATAGCTTGTAAAATAAGTCTGACAAGACAAGTCATATTAAGTGAATTATGTATGGCAGACAAAATCAGAATGGTTTGGAATTTGAACCCATGATCTGATCTTACGAGTCACGAGAGTTCACCACACACCATTAGGTCATTCGATAATCGACGAATAGCTAGGGGTAAGTGATCTACACTTGATGATCTCAATTGAATCTTTTGGTTGATTCTAGACTAGATGTAGCATGGAAGTATATACTTGTGTTATTATAATTGATTGCCTAAGTTATTATGCAGACTTGTCAAAGATAGACTCGTTCAAATGATCTGAACCATCAATTTTCAATTTTACCGACAAAATATCCAAAATTCTATTTCTGATTCAATTAATCAAGTGACCAGTTATTAATTTGATTTCAGTTCCAATAGTTTCTGGTTGAAACCATAAATTCCGATCTTAAATCTCATGTAGTTGTTACGAAATTTAATATTTTTATTTTTTAAAATATATTTTTTAATGATAATAATAATATTACAAAAAATTAATACTCCGATTAAAAAAAAAAGAAAAAAAAATCATTCAAGCTGTCGGCTCGACTTCAAAAATGCCATTTTCAACATTTCACATTAAATTAGTATATAACAATCGGAATAGTAAAACAATAAACGAATCTTATATAATACTACTTTTTTATTTGGAAATTTTGTAGGAGATTAAAAAATATTAGAATAAATTGTTTTTTTAGTGTTGTATCTACCTCTTTATTATTTTATCATTTTCAGCTACTCATCTATATGGCAATGACATCACTCACGTTAACGTCACGTCAGCAACGGCTGGCCAGCGTGGTGAGTCCGGCACCGGAGGAACATTTTAGCGAAATTTTTTTACTTACGGGACTATTTTCATACAAGGTCCGTTTAAAGTCCTAAAATATTAAAGGGGATCAGATAAGGGATTAAAAAAAAATAGTTTACCCAAAATATTATTATTTATTGGTAAGCAATTGTGTTAGAAGTTTTTACTACAAACAAATATTATATTAATATTAAAAAATCTATCGTGCAATATTAATTATAAAATATGATTATTTAGAAGATATTATTGGACTTGTCCAAACAGTCGCTAAAAAAATTAATCTAAACTGAACTTTTTGAATTGCAATTTTAATTTATATTTTTAGGTTTTGATTTTAATAATTTCAGTTTTAGAAAAGTCTATAACAACTTTTTATATTTTAATTTTTATAATTCAAATTTATTAAAATAATTGTTTGATGTTATATAAATATATAATGATGCAATATTTTTTAATGTAAAATTAAATTTTAGTATAATAAAATAAATAAAAATTAGTTATTTAATTTGATATTTTTTTTAAAAAAATAAAATTAAATGGTAAAATCAAAAATAAAATCTCATATATAAACAGAGCATTAGTTACATCTCTCAATTTTGAACATGGCCTTGTTCAGTGTATTGGTAAAAGTGCAATGATATACTATTGAATTGAAATAACATACTCATGTTATAATTAAGCGAGTTTGTTTTATAATTCAAAATATTATTCCAATTTTTACTATTAAAAAATCTAAATCCAAGAACTAAAAAGTCAAAAACAAATCCATCCAATATATTTTTTTTACTTCTTCCGGTCCATATTTATCTCTCAATTTATTTTTTTTAAAAAAAATTAAAAATATTAATATTATATTAAAATATAGTAAAAAAAAAAAAAAAAAAGACTAAAATACAGATATTATATAAAAGTAATGACATTTTTGTATCGAATATATGGATAGATTGTTCGGAGAGTGAGAGAGTATTTCTTTAGAAAAAACCGACGGTTCGGTTCAATGGCGGAACTGCCGGTTAGAAATCGGCGAAGCCGGTTCGGAACCGATTGGGCAAAATAAGGGGTAGAATATGATTAGAAAAAATAACAATAAAAAGGGCTCTTAATTTAGGAGGAAGAAGAGGGAGCCATGTCTCAGATTCCCAATTTGGAGAATGCCCCGATCAACCTCGCTTCAATCCGGTAAGCTTTTGATTCCGCTGCAACATCCAGTAGTTATTTATTTATTTTCTGTTATCATTTCATTTGATTTGTGTTGTGTTGTGTTGTTGGATTTCAGAGCGCGAGCTCAGTCGCAGCTTGAACATATTCTAAGAAATGTGAGTTTAGTTAATTCGATTTAATAATCCCAAATTTGACTTTACGAATTGATTGTCTTGTCAATGGATTTGAATTATGTCAAATTCATTCGTAATTTTTTTTTATTCTCAATATGTTTTAAGATTCGAGGAGACAAGTGCTTGGTAATTGATCCAAAGCTTAGTGGCTCACTCTCGCTTGTTGTCCAAAGCTCAGAATTGAAGGTATTGATCTTATGATTTTGTTTGTTTTTTTTATTATTTATTATTTAGTTTCACCGAAAAATCTATTAAGCTGATAAATTGTTAAAGTTTCTACTTGACATATGAACATTTAAACGAGAGTCAAGGTGGATGAAATGATGTAATTACACTATCTTCCTACGAACTTGGGGATTGTATTTAGGATTGTATTTTTACAAAGAAGTTTATGAATCATGTAAGACTTAATTAGTAGAAAGTTTATAGTTTCAACTTTCAATGCTATAATAGCCCTTAAGCTAATGTGTAGTGTGAATCATTCTTAATATCAGAAGCACAGTGCTGAGCTGCGTCATTTAACAGCTGAACCAATTCAAACAGAACGCACTAAGGTGGTCTACCTTGTTCGAGGAGAGCTTAACTTGATGAAATTCATTTGTTCACACATTCACAATGACACTTCAAAAGGGCTCCACAGAGAATATCACCTTTACTTTGTTCCGCGTCGATTAATTGCATGTGAGAAGGTAAGCAGTATGACAGCGGAAGAATTGATAAATTTTGAGTTATTTTTTAGTGTAATAATTTACTGTGTTTTATTTTTTAGATACTTGAGGAGGAAAAAGTGCACGAGCTGTTGAACATTGGGGAGTTTCCATTATACTTGATTCCACTAGATGAGGATGTATTATCTTTTGAACTTGACCTCGCTCAAAAAGTATGTGTTGGATTTTATAACTTTTGTTTCTGACTCTACAGTTTATTTTGTGTAATAGTACAATGATTTTCCTTGCAGGAATATATGGTTGATGGAGATGCAACTTCTCTTTGGCATATTGCGAAAGGCATTCACAATTTGGAGGTACATTTAATTAATTATGTTCTTCAAGTTGGTGGCAATCCTTCACCGTTTTAAGCTTTACTTAACCCTGTAACTAGTTTAAACTATCAATACTCCTATATGGTTTTTCCATTGTGTTTCCTACTTTCCCATTTTTTTACTCTTTTCCAAGATTCCATTTTATTCATAATGCAGTTCACTTTTGGTGTAATACCAAATGTCAGAGCCAAAGGAAAAGCAGCTGCACGCATCGCTGACATTATGAATCGTATGCAAGCTGAAGAACCTGTCAATATGTCAGATGTAACCACTCTGCATACAAATGTGTCTGGTTTTATATGCTATCTTGGCAGTTTTTTTGGAAAAATGCTGAAAAATATGAATGTTCTCTTAAACCGCAGATGGGCATTCCAGAAATAAATACACTTATACTTCTGGACAGAGAGGTAGACTTTCACTCCAGTTTTTCTTTCTTTCTTTTCTTTTTTGTTCTAATCCTTTTCTATTTTATGATCTCATATATAGTGCATTTTTCTCCCCTGTGCTTTATGTTATGTGTTCAATTAGCTATAAGCATCTAAGTTTTATTTTTTATTTTTTTTTTATGGTTTGAAATTGATTTGAAATAGATTGTTGATTTGAGATTTTGTTTAACTAGTATTTTGATGTGATTTTTTGTAAGAGAAAATAGTGTATTTTTATTGGAAACTATGTCAAGTGAATAGTGTTGATTTTTTAAAATGGTAAAAGAACAAACCGCTTGTATTTTAATAGTTCTATCGTAAAAGAATTTTATGTGTCCGACGGTATATTATATTTAGGTATGTGTCATTTCTTGTCTCATCATTGAAAATAGACCTTGTGATGTATTCGGAAGAACTTCAAAAAACATAGTAAGCTTTAAGCATTGTAGTTAGGCTACTTCCAACTTTTGATTTTGCTATTTTCTTCTTGCAGGTTGACATGGTC